GTAAAGTAATTACAACAAAGATTTTGATTATCTAAAAATATTGTTTTACTATTAAATACTTCCTTGTTTGCAATCCCTGCGAGGCAACTGATAAGTGTTTTTTCAGTAAATTTCGATCATTTTTAAAGTCATCCCATAATGTTTTGATATATTGACCCTAACCCTGCTTTACCCTGCTGACCCTAACCCTGACCGCTGCTTTAGACTTTATATGATCTTAAGAGTTTTCATAGTTGAAAAATTTTTAACAACAATCGCATGTAAGCAAGTTATCATCGAATTTCTTAAAAATAAGAATTATTTTTTATACATAACACATTAACTAGACCAGATTTATTTTTAAAAGAAAAAATTAACAAGCTGAACCTTTCCTTTTTTCAAAAATGTCATGTTAAAAATGAAAACGTTTTTTCATGTGGAAAAAAGGAAAGAAATGATTTTCAGAAAACTAAAGTTCAAGAAAAAAAACTAGACAATTAAGAATTTTTAAAACTTTATTAACAGTCCAAAGAAAAAAAAAATTAACATTCAAAGAAAAAAGATGAGATTTAATTGAATGACAAGTAACTTAATAATCAAATTTTAGTGCTTTTAGAGCTTTTTCTTCATTAGGAGATAATATAATGAGTTGCTTAAAACCATCTAACTACTGTCTTTTACATTAGCCTGATGCTTTTAATATTTATTATTTCTACCATTTACTCTTTTCATGATAAGAAGCCTACACTCTCTGATTGCCTGGAGGGGGTATCTGAGCTTGAAAAGGATCTCACTTCTGCTACAGCATGGGGCTTACAGTGGCTGGTGAACTTTAATTCAGATAAAACTCAGTTTTATTCGGCCAATCGTTATCGTAATAATTTAGATCTTCCTATATTTATGAATGGTAATGTACTAGATGAGTCATCTACCATTCATCTTCTAGGATTAACTCTTACTTCTGATCTTTCTTTTAAACCGTATATCAAATCCATTGCAAAATTAGCATCTGCTAAGGTTGCATCTCTTTATCGAGCTCGACACTTTCTTACTCCAGATTCTATTCTCTATCTCTATAAATCTCAAATCCGTCCCTGTATGGAATACTGTTGCCACATCTGGGGCGGATCTTCTAACGATGCCCTTTCTCTTTTAGACAAGGTGCAAAAACGCATTGTAAACATAGTTGGACCTGCTCTGGCAGCCAATCTCCAACCTTTGTCACATCGTCGTGATGTTGCTTCTCTTTCTCTTTTCTACAAATACTATAATGGGCACTGCTCTAAAGAGCTAGCGTCTCTTGTGCCATTTACTAAAATTCATTCTCATGTTACTCGCCATTCAATTAAGTCTCATCCTTTTTCTGTGACTGTTCCTAAGTGCTTCAAAAACTCTTATTCTTCTAGTTTTTTTCCTCAAACATCAGTTCTTTGGAATTCGCTTCCTTCATCTTGCTTCCCTGATTCATATAATTTGCAATCATTTAAAACATCAGTCAATCGTTATCTTGCTCTACAGATTTAGTCTTTTCTCTTCCAGTAACTTCCAACTTTTACAGTGGTTGCTTGCAGCCTTGTTGGAAGTGGATGTTAGTATCTCCTAGCTTTTGCCTAAGAAAGCGTATCCTTCAAGGTTACGGGATATGAGGCAGGTTGTACTGGGTTATTTGTTACTAGTAGCAGGATAATCAATAAAAAAATTTAAAAAAAGGATTACCTATAAAAGATGCTATCGCAAATGACATCAATCAAAATGACTTAGGAATGATGCATGTAACCTTCAATGGTAAAAAAAGGTAAATGCATGAGTACACAAAATACAATAACATTTATGTCAGAATTTGTAGATGCTTATATCTTTTCATCACTTATACTTGCAATCTGTTTTGGCTTGCCATACAAGAAATCACCAGTGGACTAGCATGATCTGGTTGGGTTTTCAGTAAAAAAACTTTCAAAATTAATGTGTTTACTTACAAAATGAAAAGTGTATGATGATGTATATCCATCATACACTTTTCATACCTTGCCATCATACACGCTGGATGTTCTCTCTATTTGATATTAAAAATAAGGACTTTCACATATAAGGATTTGTTGAAAGAAAATATCCATCAAAAGGATATTGATAGTGTCTTCTATACAGTACTGCCAAACTCTGAAAAACCTAATAGTCATATTTCAATTGATGAGGTACATACAGCAACAATTAATGTTTCTAACAGTTGTTTATCTTTATTTTTATTGATGGTTTACTAAATATTTTTTTCAATGAAGACATTTTTCACCATAAATTTGAAAATCTATCAAAAACCACAGACTGGTTTCTTTGGACTTTTTAAGACTGATCCATTTACAAATACAATTCTGTACTGTGATGGTCTCAGGTACTACACAGATTTGTCCTAGAAAAATATATTAATGCTTTAAACAAGGGGCCTTGAAACAAGAAACTTGAAACTGTAAACAAGAATGCCTTTTTTGCACTGAAATTAACTAATTTCTTTGGGTGTGTTTATGCTGTGTATCTGTGTTTACAACTCTGAAACTTATTTATATGGTTTTGAGGCCAGCTGGTTATAAGGTTTCCAGAACTCTGTGGAGGTTGATTCCATTGAGAGCTATAAAATATTGAGTTTTAATAGAGTCAAGTTACGCTTAGATGGTGATTCTGTTAGTGCTATTGTTAAAGCAACATAAAAAGTTCTTAGTTAAAACTTTAGGTATATTAACATTACTGATGCAACTGTTTGGCTCATTGCTTGGAATTTCATGCTCCATCTATGATTAGATCAAGTTCTTTTTAAGTCAAATTAAGACTAATGTACCCAAAAATATTTAACATTGAAAATCATCACCACATAATTTTTTAATCTCCGTTGAACGCCTCTTCAATCTTATCTTTCTCTATGTTCTTTATCATTTTCCTTCTTCTCAAAACTATACTCTTTTAGATGTAGTCTAAAAAAGTGCAGTTTTGAGCTTTTTGAACCGAGCCCTTTATTTTTTATTGCTCAGCCAATATTGTTGTCATTATTAAATATTCATCAAACTGAATGCCAATAAATCTGATCTCTAACACTACTGGCTCTGATCTCTTACTGAGATAGTTAGCTCTGTGAATTGTTATCCAGTCAAACTTAATCACTTACTTTCACTACTTGATTTGTGTTTTAACCCTAGCTTGTGTTCAGTTTTATTTTGTTCTCCTTCAGGTGGTTTTGACCATGCAATGATCTCTATAAATCTTTTACCTCCATACTATCATCACACTACTTACTAAACCAGAACTTTTTGCAAAAAAACTTTCCACTATTCTAATTAAGCAGGTTAACCCATTGTGTCTTACATATCCAACTCACTTTGATTTCTGTTGCTCTCAATTCTCAATTAGGCTTTTCTACAGCTTGTGGTCCAGAAAACTTTAGTGTCATAGTTTTACAAAAGTATTCTCTTATATTCAAATCTCTCTAAACTATTTAATAATTGCTTGACTAAATCATATTTTCCTGGCATATTTGGTTCTTTGATAACTCCAGAAAATGTTATTTGTATTTAAATTAATCTAATCAGTGTTCTCTCTATTATTTACAAAGCCTTTGAGTTTTTAATATTTAAGTTTCTAACATCTCGACTTTAGTCTAATAATTTACTCTCAGACAATCTTTAAAATTTTAATTTTTTCATTCTATGGCTGATTTGTAACTTAACTGTTGTAACTTTAAGGTTTTATGATGCATTACATGGAGGCGGTGAGGCAAGGGCTTTTATTATTTACATATCATAAGCTTTTATTTAAGTTTGCCATGGCGATCTACTCCATGATCTATATAGTATATCTTGAAAGGTTTTTGAGTTTCTAAGTTATTTCTTTTTAACTATTGTATTAAAGTACCTCAAGGTTCTATCGATTGTTGTTTCCTATTTTTTCCTTTGTTGTTTCTTATCTATATTAAAGATCTCCTGACTATCTTACATTTAAATTGGCTTTATTTGTTAATGGCTCAACTTTATAGTCTTACCTTGACAAAATGTCTTCACTTTTCGATTGCTCAGATCAGGCAGCCCATCTTGAATCGTATTTTTTTTCTATAACAGATTGGAGCTTGCGGTGGCTTGTAAAATTTTATTCCATCATAGTTCAGTTATTTACTGCAAACAACTATCACAATACTGTCGACATTCTTATATTGATAAATGGCTACCCTCTCATTAAGTCTTCTTCTTTATATCTTCTTGTATTATCATTCACTACTGACCTCTCATTTTAATCATATATATACAATCTATTGCAAAGTTAGCTATGTTTGATTCTTGTTATTGTGTTTTCTCTTTTCTTACTCTAGATTCTATTCTCCACCTCTAAACACGATCTCTAAAATGATCCTGTATTGAGAAGTATTGTCAAAAAAAGACTTTTTTTGACAATATTTTAATGTTATTTTTCTTCTAGATGAGCTCTAAAAACACATTTTATATGTAGCTGGACCTGCTTTACCTGCCAAAATTGAGCCACACTCCCTCATTGTTAGGTTACATCTTGTTTATTTAAATGCTAGAATTGTTCCCACTCATTTTTAGTTCCATTAATCAAAATTCATTCTTGCTTGACTTCCCATTTTGTAAAGTTGTTTAATTTATCTTTTCCTTCATGCTCTAAAAACTTTTATTCATCTTTTTTTTTTTTCCTTTTAATGTTTAAGAGCTCTTTACCATCTTCATATTCTGCCAATTCATACAACTTTAGTTTTTAAGTCGTCTGTCGAATGTTTCCTACCTTTTTAACTATACTCTTTGTTTTTTAGTAATTCCCAACTTAATAGAGTTTGTTTGCGACTTTGTTGGCAGTCGATTAGTAATAAAAAAAAATACAACAGCTTCATTAAAAAGTTTGTGTCAAAACGGTGGGGATTTTAAATTAGGATAGCCTAATATTTGGTTTAGCTTTTGTCTCCCAATTATATTAACTTTAAAAAAATCTTTCATCTTCATGCTGCTAATTATATAAGGCTATATTTTTAGACGATTCGTTCTCAGACAGGTTGTAATACATATACTGGGACATACCACTGGATGGCTCCTGAAGTTCTTCGTCAAGTCAAATATGGAAACAAGGCTGACATATGGTATATTTTAATGTTTTAATTTAAGGTTTTGTTTTGTTACTGTGATTAGATATATAATAGCATTATATAATATATATTATATAGATATATAATAGCTTTATATATATATGTATATATATATATATATATATATATATATATATATATATATATATATATATATATATATATATATATATATATATATATATATATATATATATATACATATATATATATAATAGATTTTTAAATATATAATAACAATCTTTACTAAGTTTAAAAAATATTTTTCTAAATTGAATTTTGATTATTTTGATCAAAGTTTCAAAAGTGAGTATATATACTCTGTATAATACATACTCTGTATATACATATATATGTATATACATATATATACATATATGTATTATAGTATAATACATACTCTGAATCAGAATAGCAGCCTCAGACAGAATTTCTTTAAATATAAATTTTATCAAGCAATGAAGTGGCTCCTAAAGCTGATGGCTACTAATGTTTTTTTCTTTTTTTAAGTTTCTCTCGCACTTGCTCAAATATATTTTGTAATTTTCAGAGCTTTTTAAAATATTTTAAAAATATTTCTGGAAAGTTTTTGAGGTATGAAAATAGTTTCAAATAAATAAAAATTTTAGTAAAACTGGAACAAAGTAGAATTAACTAATGTCACTTTTGCTTTTGAATTAAAGATAATAAAGGTAAAAAATAGGTAAAACTTAATAAAACATAAAACAAAAAAACTTTATAATACTAAAAGTTTTTGTAATTGATATTTTTATCATTTTTAATGTCCATTATTTAAGTCAAAAAGTATACAAAGACATACAAATTTTTTTTTTTTTTAATTTTATTTTAAAGAAAAATTAAATAGTTTGTTAAAGTTCAAAAGTTCATTCATTCCAAAATTAAATCTGTGCGATTACTAAATTTGTTCTAAATTATTGAAGCTTATGATAACTTAACTCTTAATAAATATTTTAAAATCTTTCTATCTTTCAAAAAACAAGTTCTTCATACAATCAATTGTTTTTAAGTTCTCATAAAAAGTTATAACTTTTTTTTTTTTTAATTTAATGTTCTACGAGTAAATTAAACGACTTAACAAGTTTTGGCACGTAATAACTTTTTAATTTATTTTATTGTCCTGAAGAAAAAATTAACTTGGTAAAAAAACAAAAAATTAGTTTTTTACAACTGCATTTGAAACCTTAACTTTTTTTACTTTTTTTATTAAAAAAGTGAGAGAAAAATATCAAATAATAAATATTTTTGGGGGGCCCATACCACTCCAGCAGTACCAAAATAGGTTTGAGTTCGTCCCTGATATACTTAAAAAAGATAAATATCAATTATAAGGAAAAAGAAATAAAATGCCATGGTTGTGGAAAACTTTTCCACAACCATGGTATGTTACCTTTTTGAGAGTTTAATGCCCTGAACATTACCTGAAAAAATTGTTCATTTTTTATCTTTTTTATAACTTTAGAATTAACGATTAACTGTATAACTTTTTAACTGTCTTGTCTTGCCCCACCTACAAAATTTAAAATTTTTTGTTAGAATTTTGCTAGAGTTTTGCTTCAATTTTGCTAGAGAGTCTAGAGTTTCGTTACTTTGGTTGTCGTATCTTATTTTTAGACACTGTTTTTTTGTATTCTTATATCAATGAATTTTAAGAAATTTATGAAAAACAGTGTTAACTAAGATTAGTTTTTACACAACTACCATTTGTTTCTTAAGTGTCCCTATATACCCCGCTCTACCTGATTACAGAAAAATAAATACAGATAAATACTTTGTTGTTAAATCCTTAATGTGTTAAATTAACGATTGTTTGTTTAAAAATAAACTAACAATATAAAAAGCAAAATAAAAAAATTGTTAAAACTTCTACAATGGTTACTTCATTGTTATTATCTAAATAATACTGAACTAAATAATTTAGTCAATTTCAAACAAAATTGACTTATTTAAAACAACAAAACGTAAATTATAAAAAATGGAATGCGACTTACTTATACTTAAAAGAACATCATCACTATTAGTATTTAGTAATGGTTTAAAACATCTACAAAAAGTATTTATTTATTCATTTTAGATTTCTAAAAAAAGAAATAATAAAAAAAGATAACGTTAGCTATTAATAAATTACTTAGACTGATTATATGACAATGTCAAATTATCATAAAATATAATTAACACATTTAAATTTTAAAATTAAAACTGATATTTTAAGTGAAATTTTGATATTTTAAGTGAAATTTTGAACTGAAATTTTATAACTGATATTTTAATTTTAATTAAAACTGATATTTTACTGATATTTTAAGATTAAAACTGATATTTTAAAGCAGATATATACCTATTTTTGATTTATTGTAGAATTCCACCGCAAAGTTGTAATAAATTGTAATAGAACATTTTATAATGCCATGTGCAAATAAACTCTAGTTAAAAAACTAATAGGTATGAAAAGATTATGAAAACATTATAAAGATTATGAAAACATTATTCCTATAATATAAAAACCTCTTAGGCTATATTAATACCAAAATCATACCATAGGAAAAGGAAACTTTTCCATTGAACATATAGATTAAAAGTATTGTTAATTACATAAATTTAATAATTAGATAATTTAATAAATATAAAAGTACTTTGTATATAATGCTTTAATGAAATCATAAAAATAATTAAAATTTTAAAGTGGGCAAACTACATAAAAAATGGACTATCAGTCAATAGAAACGTTGACCGACGCACAGTGGAGTATTTGTATAACAAAATCGCTCAAAATTCAAAAAAGAAATTAGCATAAAAATCCTATTAACCTTATAACATTCAACCTAGATAATTGCTTCATTAGGTTACGTTATAAAAAATTCGCATTTTCCTTTTGTCACATTTTCATTCAGAACATGGCGTTGTTGTTTTTCTTAAAAAAAATTTCTTTCTTAAAAAAAAATTCGAAAATTAGTGACATTTGTTATTCCAGCTATTTTTATCACATTGCTCAGTTTTAAAATATTAAACTTCTAATTATAGAGGGGGAAGGTATGTGTCGAGGGGGAAGGTATGTGTCGAGGGGAAAGGTATGTGCTATATTTTTAAATGAAATTATTTTAAATTTCTGTTGTTATTGTGCATAATGTATAGTGATTTTGCGATGGCCTATTTGAGTTTTAATTTTCTTATAAAATTATAAGACAATAATGTTTTTATTGACAAGTATGGTCTTGTCGAATTAAAAAATTTTTACGAGCAATAAATATAGGCTATTAACAATCAGATTCTTTTGCAAGATTATCCGCCAACATCCGCCACCTTTTGTTTTAACAAAAGGTGAAAAATAGTGTGTAAACCATTATGTAATATACACAATTTCGTTAAAAGTACTAAAATAGAATAAATTCTTGCGGTCCGATTTTTAAAATGTTTTATACAAACTTTACTAAACTACATAAACAAATCTTAAATAGATAATATATTAAAATATAAAATCTCAAACAAATATATATGTTTTATTTGTCGATCATTCAAAGATAAAAAGATGGATAGCTGCGCATTATAAACACAAAAGATTTATAAAAAAATAATAAACTCTGGCTCAAATCAAACATCGAATTTCTTTATAGGTCAATAAAAGTTTGAAAGTCACCTCTTCTCCCAGTCACCTCTTCTCCAAGCTTCTTCATGCTCATTTGAATACACTTTATTTGTGAATCGAAAGACATAACAATAGACACCTAAAAAGTACACTTTAAAAATTTTAGGGAAACAAAGTAGCCCAAGAAAAATATAACACACCTTGCTTTTTACTTTAGTAGATAGTAAAGTGTGCAATGCTGCAACTGATACTACATCTACTATGAGGTGCTACTTTGTATAAAAACATCAAAATATGTTAATAAATTTTATAAAAAAGCAAACAATATTGAAGCCCTCTTATATGGACTCTCAATTCTTCATATAAAGATCCACTTCTTTGAATCGCTTTTTCATTTAGGTTATAAAATACCTTTACAAAAGTGGCAAGCTCAATCAGATGATGAAAAAAAAAATTGTTAAACAAGCGAAGAAAATTCAAACATCCTTCAAAGAAAAATTAGGACTTCAAGTAGATATACGTAAAGCAAGGTTTGGAAATACCAATGATGGCAATACTTCAATAAGACTTTTTTCAAACTCGGAATTATCTTCACAAATAACAAGTGTTAACTTGAATTCAATAAAAGGTTTACACGTTATTCTTGAAGTCTTTCCAAGTGGATGCTGTTAAATTTGATGCTTTTGATCATGAAACTGCTAAAATGCATATCAATCTGTATGGTTGGTATCCTATGTCTCCAAATATGCATTAATTTTTGATCCATGACGCAGAAATAATAACTCATGCAATCCTCCCTAATTAGCCAGTTATTTGAGGAGGCAGCTAAAGCCAGAAACAAACACTTTTGACAGTACAGACAAAATTTTAATCGAAGGTTTTTTCGTATTGATTGCAAAATTTTAATCGAAGGTTTTTTCGTATTGACTGCACTACAGGCGTATTAAATAGACTGCTATTGAGTTAAGACCTATACATAAGTAGTCTAGATCAAAACGGCACGAAAAACATTACCTTTTTTAAAAGAGGCAGTCAATATGATTATCTCAGAATGAAGATTTGACACGCAAATAATTTAAAATGAATAAGTCTTTTTCTTAATAAAAAATTGCTCTCTAAATTTTTCTTTTTAATTAAACGTTTAATTTTGATAAAATACTATGTTTCAAGCTAAAAAACTGAAAAAATATCCATAAAATATTTTTGAGCAGTTTTGTCTCCACTGAGATGTCGAAATATTAAATCTTTTTTTTAAAAATTTTTTTTTGAAAAGTTTTTTTTGAACATTCGATAAAACAATCGAATTTGAAAGATGGTGGATGTAGCGTTAAGGTGTGAGATTATTTTGGTCGTAATGCTACAGGTGACAGTAAAATTAGAGGGAATAATGGTAAAAGCAGTTTATTTGAACATTTTAAAAAAGTCATGCTAAATCTTAGAAAAGTTGGATTAATGGGAAGCCATTCAATTTCTTAGAAAAAAACTATATCAAAACATATTTTTCAAAATAGTGAATAAATTATTTGACTGATAAATAAGAGAATAATGAACTATTGAATAGAATTTCCCTCCCCAAACACCAGATAACTCAACAATTCTATAGTTATATATAGAGAATAAATGTATGTATATACCATTTTTCCTTACGCGAACTTAACTTAGTTGTAAACTTGAAAAGTAAACCTGGAAATCATAAAAAGCATTTACATAGTTTTAAATTTGCGTCAGCAAATTTTAAACGATGTAAATATATATGATATTTTCTTATAAAAGAAGTGCTGAAAGACTTTTTTTTCCATTTCCTCGACATTTATGGCTGCCGTGAATTACGTTTCAAACATTCACAAATAAGAAACTACAAAAGCAGCAAAAGCATTAAGTTCAATATTAAAGTATTATAGGACTTCACAAATCATAAATTGCAGATGTACAATAATTGATTAAACGTCAATGATATTTTATGAAATTTTTTTCCCTCTTTTTTGTTTTAGGTTGAAGTTGCAATATAGAACGTTTTAGTAATTTTTTATTATCTAAGAGACAGTAATATTGGCCATTTATACGGCAATCCCAGTAATATGTCTGGAATCTACTTTGGTTTACAAGCAAAAATTAAATAGATCAACGTTCTTGCCGAATACATTTTATGTGCTGCTCACTATTTGAACCTCGTAAGAGTGAGTGATGCGGAATCCAACGGAGCTGCTGTTAACTTCTTTAGCTTTCTTTAAGAAATTTATAACTTATTTTTATTTTTAGAAATTTATAACTAAAATTTATAACTTAGCTTTCTTTAAGAAATTTATAATTTACTTTCTGCATCAACGCATCGATGTCTTAAAGTCAAAGTTCCTTGTATCAACGCATCTTAAGGTTAAAGTTACTTGCTGGAATAGGTGTTAAGGTTCCTTAGTCTCTCACAAACTCGTTGGTTAGCTCGTGCTGATGCTTGTTTAGCCATTGGAAACGGTTATTTTTTAATTTTAAACCGCTGTTAAATTTGAACACTAGAAGGCTAACAGGGGCTCTGTACATATACATATATTTTATATACATATAAATATTTGTATATAATACATATATGTTATATATATAACTATTTGTGTTATAAAATGAATTAACTTATTACGTCACGGAATAATTCAATGGAATAATTTACGAGTAATATTAGTGAACTAAATAGTATTAGTACTCTTTAGTTTACTAATGTTATTGTAGATATCTTATTAATTTGTGAAATAATATAAATGTTTTTTCACTTGCAATTCATTTATTTTTAACTTTTAAATTTGTTAAGTTGTATTTATAAAAGATAATTAATTAATAAAATGAATTTATGCATAATAATGAACAATATGCATAGATTTACTTATTGTCATGACCATTTTTATGATTTTGATCATGAAGATTATCAAGATAGTAAATTTATACCATTTATTAATATCATTTTTTAATACTTAGATAGTGTTTTGTTATTTCTTTAATTTTCTAAACAGGTCGTTTGGTTGTACTGTGTTTGCGATGCTATTGAAAAACCTTCCATGGTCTCATTTAGAAGGTGTGATTGCTGCGATTGAAATCGCTACAAATCCAACGATACCCGATCTGCCTGATAACTTGTCTAAATCATGCAAAATATTTATAACTGATTGCTTTAATAGGTAATCAGAAAAATAATCTTATAGTTTAATTTGTGTAAATTTTTTGTATTCAACGTTTTTACAAATAATGCTTGGTCATTTAATATTTTTTTTAGTGCAAACTTTTTATGCAACTTTTTTTTATAAACACTAACAGTTTTTTTTTATATATATAGTGACCCGGCATTTCGACCAAGTGCCTTGACATTGTTAACTTATGATTGGATTAAAATATACAGTTCATAATGAATCGATAATGAAGTTTATGACAGTGTAATGCATGAATCATCATTATGATTGTTACATTTCACTGTTTGTTTGTTTTTTACCATTTTTATACACACTTTTTAAATACTTGTATACCATTTATTAATATCATTTTTTAATACTTAGATAGTTTTTTGTTATTTCTATAATTTTTTTAAATTCTGAAGTCTACTTTTAACATCTTTATTTTTTTAATCTTTGTTTTATTAACATAAAATTTGTCTTTTTATAACGACCTTTTAAAAGCTTTCAATGGTAATTAATACTTCGTTAAAATTTTGTAAAAAACAGATAGTAAGAATTTGTTTAGCTAAAATATTAAAATCATAATTAATATTTTATAATAAATATGAAAAAAAAAATTGTTTACACGCTTTGATAAATAAACGCTACTTTTATGAACTTTGACGAAACAACTTTTTTTTTTACAATATTGTATATAGGAATAGATTTTTTAATTTTACCTATTTTTTTTTTATAATTTTAGCTGCTTTTGTTTGTTTTGTTTTTCTTATTTTTTGTATAATACACGGTTAAAAATAATGTGGACAAAAAACGCTACACTTAGTGTAGCATCTTTTTGGCTACACAAATTGTGCCCTTTAAGTCTACACTTGTGCGCTTTAGAGCCACACTTGTAATAATGAAATTAAACTTGATTAAAGGCGTAAAAAAAGCCACACTTTGTGTTTCACTTTCTTGGATTCTCGTATCGAATTATTCGGAAAAGAATCTTGTTTCTAGCGACATTTTCTTTTTGTAAACCTTTTAAAATTTTGCTAAAAATATTAGTGTAACTTTTATTGTTGCATGTTAATTTTAGGCACAACTTTTTCATATAAAAATATTTAATATTTTTAAAAGAAAAATTTGTAATACTTTAGTAATACAGTAGAATCCCGTTAACGCGGACACTGAACAAGTATATATATTTTGTCCCACTTAGCTAATGTCCGAGTTAAGCGCAGCTTTTGGTATGTATAAAGAATTCAAGGGAAATTGAAAATTTGTCCGACTTTGTAAAAGTTCGATTTATCCAGGGTCCGAGGCAGCGGGATTCTACTGTATAATATTAAATATGTTTAGCGAGGAAAATATCGACTTTCAGTTGTCAAAAATATTAACCTGTGGAAATTTACTACGTGAATTAATTTAATTTATATGACTTTATTTAATTAGACTAATGATATTATATTATATAATTAATGTTATTATATGTTTTAATTTTTATAACGTCTCATTAATGTTGTTAATGTAATTAAAATAATTGTATTAACATAACTGGTATTCTGTTCAGTTAATATATCTTAAATAACCTTTTAACGTAATTGAAATTAACATTGTTAAATAATGTTATTAACGTTAAGCTTTAAGTAATGGGTAGCAGGAAAAAATCCCCCCGAAATAATCCCCCGAGAAAAATCCCCCCCCCCCCGTAAAAAAACTTTCTGAAAAATATTCCCCCGGAAAAAAAATATTTTTTTTGATTAAAAATTATCAATAAAATAGTTATATTTATTTTAAATAGTTTTATAAAATACTTCATTTTTCATCAAAATGTCAAGTTATTCTTCGATTGTCGGTAAACTGCGAAACGATTAAATGCGAACTTTTTGCGAAACAAAACATATTTTAAAGACCATTATTTTTATGATAAAAATAATTTTAAAAAACTCTACAATTCTTAATTATGTATTTTAAAGTTTTATTTAAAATAAAAATAAAAAATTTTAACTGTAAAACATGAGCGGAGTGTTGCTACATCGAATATCTTTTTACCTGACTCGCAACGGAATGCTGCTACATCGACTGAGGGTTCGGTTTGGGCAGGCAGTCGATCAAATAATTAAAAAATATATATATATATATATATATATATATATATATATATATATATATATACTTAAATATAGAAAAAACAACTTTTAATGGAACTTAAAGTTTCATGCCTATCGGCAATCATCAGCCATGAAGTACAAATTCAAAAATATAAAAAAACCGTCTAAAAATTACAAACTACAGTAGAATGAGTTCTTACGTCTTAGTACAAGAAGACGTAATGGATAACTAATCTCCGCTATCAAATAATGAAAGAAGAAATTTATTTTTATGTCTACATTTCGAAACTACTTCTCCTCTTTTATTTAGCAGATTATCTCCTTTGTAAAATAATATTTCAAATTTCTCATTTAAACAAAGCTTACAAATTTTTGACGCAGGATTGTTTGATTTACAGCGTTTAATTATATTCCAATTGATTGAAGATGTAAAATTGTTATCTTTTAAATCCCATACTTCCTTAGATAACTCAGTGTCGTTCTTGTACTTTTTTATGTTGAAGGATTTTAGATGGTTTGCATAACGTAGTTTAAAAGAGGTTTCGCTCATCCCAATGTATACCTTATCTTTGTATCGAGGTTTATTTGAGCTCACGGTGGCTTGGTAAACAATGTTGTTAGACAAGCAATTGTTGTTCAGTGGACAAAGAGATTTTTTAATGCAATTTCAGGTTTTTTCTGATAACTTTACATCACCATATAAAATATTTTTGTTGTGTGAGTTGATGATAGATTTAATGTTTGGCATGCAGGAGTAGCTTATTTTAATAGTGTTTCTGTTAAATATTTTGTGTAGGTTGTGGTCTTTAGTAAAATGTTTGTCAATTAGGGTTAAAAAGCGTTGACCAATTTTGGTTGTAACATTTTTACTAAATGGAGGGTTGTACCAGATTATACTTCGTTTGTGGTGATTTTTTGGAACATTTGTTATACTTGGTTTATATGCCAACTTATAATCATATCCCGATTGCTTTAGTGCGTCTTCATAAAGATGTGTCGACTTATTAAAAATAGCTTCACTTGATGAGTTGGCGGACAATCTTAGCTCGATATTTTTTGGAAGATTGTTTATTAAGTTAGGTGGATGGTTAGAATCAGCATGTACATAACTTAGCTTATTATCAGGCTTGCAGTATGGTTGGAATGAATTTTGAGTAAGATTAAAAGTTAAATCAAGGTAGTTAACAATTTTAAGATTACAATTGATAGAGATGTTGAGATTGTTACGTTTAAAAACTTGAACAACACGTTTTTTTATTTGATCCATTTGATGGCCATTATTGTTCTTGAAAACAGCTAACCCGTCATCCCGATTAAGACCGAAATCATTTTTGTTGTAAAACTGGGAAAGTTGATCTAAAATAAAAATTCTAACTAGTTCACAAATTTCCGCGCCATCATAGGCTCCCATGGTAACATCAAACAATCCTGCTTTTTTCTTAATCCATGATATGCCACCGTTAAAAATGAAAAATTTTCTTGCATGATGTATAATGGATTTGCTTTGCTCGTCTATTGTTATATGTTGTTCAGCAAAAGTTATAGCGTTATTAAGTATTTTTTCATCAATTGACGAATAAAAATCATTTATGTCAAATACTAAAAATTTACAAAGGTGTTTATCATCAATTTTTTGGAACCAATTTATTACATTTTGCGTTTCATTCATATATATATATATATATATATATATATATATATATATATATATATATATATATATATATATATATATATATATATATATATATATATATATATATATATATATATATATATATATATATATTCATATTGTTATGTATCACAGTGATTTAATATTGAACTGTTGCGGCGTTTTGAACGCGCATGCGCAACTTTTATTAAAAAAAGATATCGTTGTTTTGTTTTTATTTAGTAAATTTTTTTTAACCATGTCCTTAAAAAGTAGTTCATAGCTTTGCTATAAATATGTATAATTGATATCCCATTATTTATACTGCTTTAATTATGGCGATTGATAATTTTTTCATAACATTTAAATTGAATTATATATTATATATATATATATATATATATATATATATATATATATATATATATATATATATATATATATATATATATATATATATATATATATATATATATATATATATATATATATATATATACTATATACACTATATAAGTAAGTGTATATAAATGAATAAAAAAAATCTTAATATTATTAATATTATTTTCTAAGTAAAACGTTGCAGTGAACAGACGCTTTTTAACAGCTCTTTATAAATTATTAAAATAAAAGATAAACTTATTATTATTAAAAAAAAGATAAATCTAAAATGTCAGTTACTCTTGTAGAAGTTAAAAAAATGCTAAGGGAGATGTTTTTGGAATATAGAAATGAAATGGAAACAATGCTTAAGCAACAACAACAAATATTTTTAGAAATCTTAAGCGCAAATACAAAAATAATTAATGAGAGACTTGACAAAGTTGAAGAAAACTCTAAAGAAAGTGCAAACAAAATAAAGATAATAGTAAAAGATATCGAAGACATAAAATTGAGCTTAAATTTTCATGATGAAGTTTTTGACAAAAAATTGCAACTATCCACAAACAAAACAATGATCGAGTGGAAAAGGAAAACATTACAACGCTAAATATAAATGAAAAGCTAAGAAAGTTTGAAGATAGATCGAGAAGAAATAATTTAAGAATAGGCGGGTTACCAGAAAGTGTGAAAGAAACATGGAATGAAACTGAGGATAAAGTTAAACAATTTTTAGTCAATAAGTTGGGACTAAATGGAATAGAAGTCGAACGAGCTCATCGAACCGTAGCTAGAAAAGAAGGAAGCTCCAGAACAGTTATAATGAAATTGTTAAGATTCAATGATAAAACAAAAATTCTAAAAGAGTCATATAGACTAAAAGGTACAAACATTTACTTAAACAAAGATTTTTCCCATGAGACTGTCAATATTAGGAAAAGACTCCTGGCTGAAGTAAAAGAACGACGCAATAATGGTGAAAATGTTGGTTTAAGGTACGATAAAATTATTAAATTAAATAATATTAAAAAAAAAACTCTTCTTTCTTATATTTATATTTTACACGTGTATGAATATATTTATATATCTTATATTTAATTTTTTAAGCAGTTAAATTTTTAATTATGACAATGACGGAAACAAAATATTTTGAAATTTTTGATAGAGAAAACACTCTTCTTCTGAACAATAACAACGACCCTGACAAAAAATTTTTTGAAAACGACTCATTTAAGTCTAATTACTATAGTATCGAAGAATTATCTTGTTTTATAAATGCTTCACAAAATACTTTTTCAGCGCTGACATTAAATATACGCAGTATGAGCAAAAACTTTGAAAACTTTAAAGAAATGCTAAAAGACATAAGTCACGAAATTACGGTAATATGCCTTTTAGAAATGGCGCAAAGACGAAAATACCATAAACTCAAATTTTCAATTAAAAGGCTATAAAGCTCTCCATCAAACTCGTAGTAGAGGTACTGGCGGAGGAATATGTTTCTACATACATAATACAATACAGTTTAAAAAAGTAGAAAGCCTGAGCATACTGAACGCAAACTGTGAACTTTTCACGGTTGAATTAACAAACCAAAGTAAAGCAAATGCGTATATTACTGGCTTATATAGACCACTAGATGGCAATATAAAATCCTTTAAAAAACATATAATTCAGTACCTAGAACTGGCTAAAAATAAGCACTTATACATAATGGGAGATACTAACTTGGATCTTTTAAAAATAAAAACTAATAATAATGTCAAACGCTTTTTAAATAACCACTTATAGCACGGCGTAGAACCCTTAATAAATAAGCCAACTCGAGTAACTCTCCGAACAACTACCTTAATCGATAAGATATTTACAAATACTACCATAAAATGTAATATTCAAAGCGGAATAATAAAATCTGACATAAGTGACCATTTTCCGATATTTCTTCTGCTTAACAATTTCAACAATAAAAAAGAAAACAAAACAATTGCAACAAAAAGGCAAATAAATGAAAAAAGTATAACAAAGTTCCGAAGCAACTTATCAATGGATAACTGGGATCAGGTTGTTAATTGGAAAGACACTAACACAGCTTACGATATTTTTAAACACACTTTTACAACTTTGTACGAAAAAGCGTTTCCGAAGCTTGAGCAATTAACAAAACTCAAAAACCTTAAAAGTCCTTGAGTGACAAAAGGGCTTATTAAATCTTCAAAAAAAAAAAAAACTTTATGAAAAATTTTTGAAAAAAAAAACTTTTAAAAACAAAAAAATATATAAACAATACAAAAATTTATTTGAAAAATTAAAAAAACATTCAAAAAAAAACTATTACTGCAATTTATTAGGAAATTATTGCGGTAACACTAAAAAAACATGGGGCGTAATAAAAGAGGTAACAGGAAGAAAAAAAAGATGCTACCAAAGTGTTCCCGCAATACTTAAAAACAGATGAAAATGATACAGTAGCCAATAAGGCAATAGATATTGCAGAGAATTTAATAACTATTTTATAAAAATTGGGGAAAAACTAGCTAATAAAATAACTCGTGGAAAAAAATGTTATAAGCTGTATCTAGAAAAAAAAGCCTCAGTCATGAACGAGCTTGAAATAACTCCGGATGAGCTTAAAAATGCATTTAATACCTTACAAGAAAACAAAAGTCCAGGACTAGATGACATTAGCGTGAACGTTGTAAAAAATTCTACGATATTATTGAATATCCCCTTCTGCATATCTGTAATCTGTCTTTAAAAAATGGGGTGTTCCCTGACCAGCTAAAGCTAGCAAAAGTTGTTCCTATATTTAAAAGCGGAGACGATTCGATTGCTTCTAACTACAGGCCTATTTCTATTTTGCCATGCATTTCAAAAATATTAGAGCGCATAATGCACAATAGGCTAAACAATTATTTAGTAAACCACCACCTACTAAATAATAACCAATATGGCTTTCAAAAACACCATTAAACAGAACACGCTGTAGCCAAACTTGTCAATGAAATTTTAAATGGGTTTGACAATAAAAAATACACTCTTGGGGTATTCCTCGATCTCTCAAAAGTGTTTGACACTGTTGACCACGAAGTTCTTCTTTATAAACTATACAATTATGGAATAAGAAATAACAATTTAAAATGGTTTCGCTCTTACCTTTATAATCGGAAACAAGCTTTATCATATAACAACACTGTAACACTACTTGAAGACATTACTTGTGGGGTCCCACAAGGATCAATTCTTGGTCCATTATTATTCCTCGTTTATATTAACGATATCTACTTATCTTCTAACATACTAAACTTTGTCCTTTTTGCCGATGATACGCAAGTGTTCTTTAGCCACACAAACATTAGCCTATTATTTAACACTGTTAATCAAGAACTTGAAAACCTGAACGAATGGTTTAAGGCTAACAAACTCTCCTTAAATGTCGAAAAAAGTAAATATATTTTTTTTACAAAATTATCAAAATCTGAAACCCTCGCCTTAAAACTACCTGATTTACTAATTGATAAAACTAAACTTAAACGAGAATACTCAATCAAATTTTTAGGCGTAATTCTTAATGAACATCTTAGCTGGAGTAATCATATCAAAGTAATAGAAAATAAGATTTATTTTCTATTACTTTTGTTTTATACATAATACCAAAAATTATTGGTATTATGTATAAAACAAAACATCTCCTAAACACAAATTGTGTAAAAAATATTTGTTTTGCATTTATTCATAGCTACATCAGCTACTGCAACATTATCTGGGCAAGTACTTATCCTTCAAAGTTAAATATGATCTACAAAATACAAAAACGAGCAATTCGCTTGATATTAAATGCAAATAAATACGCTAGTGCCAGACCACTACTAAGAGAAATTGGAGTGCCTAATGTCTATGAAATAAATATTCTTAATATAGTTATTTTCATGTTTAAGTTTAAAAATGGTATGCTACCAAGCATTTTCCAAACTTATTTTTTTTCTTTAAACCACAAATACGAAACTAAATGCTCAACAAATAATTTTATTATACAAAAAACATTATCAAAACAAGCTGATTTTTCGATATCTTGCCGAGTGCCGCGGTTAAGGAACTTGCTTTTAACAAGTAATATAAAAACTTTAAATTCAACTCAACATTTTAAACGTGCAACAAAACAACACTTATTTGGTTTTGACACAAAGCAATTACTATCGTATTATTAAAAACTTTTGGTAATCTTAGTTATTTAATGTCTTATAAATTGGCTCAACATCACAATTATATTGTATGGTACTTAGAACATCTATGATATTATTTTATTTTAAAATAATAACGTAATTTGTAAATGCAATATTTATTATATCTTACGCAATTTGTAGATGGAATGTAATACAGATTTATTTGATTTGTATGTATATATGAAGGGACATATATTTGTGTGTACGTGTGCGTATGTGTGTGTGCGTGCGTGTATTATAAAAATAAAAGTAGAATAAAATATAGAAAAAAATAAAATAAAAAAAATAATAATAATGAGAAGAAATAATAAATTTTTTTTTTTTTTTTCTCTTTCTGTAAATAGTAATTTGATTTTTAAGTTCTTTTTTTTCTTAAAATCAGTTCTTGCTTTAGTTTCTTTTTTCCTTTTTCATTTTTATCGGCTGAATTTTTTAGTTATATTAACGGGGCTGGATGATAAGAAAAAAGTAAATATATTTTTTTTACAAAATTATCAAAATCTGAAACCCTCGCCTTAAAACTACCTGATTTACTAATTGATAAAACTAAACTTAAACGAGAATACTCAATCAAATTTTTAGGCGTAATTCTTAATGAACATCTTAGCTGGAGTAATCATATCAAAGTAATAGAAAATAAGATTTATTTTCTATTACTTTTGTTTTATACATAATACCAAAAATTATTGGTATTATGTATAAAACAAAACATCTCCTAAACACAAATTGTGTAAAAAATATTTGTTTTGCATTTATTCATAGCTACATCAGCTACTGCAACATTATCTGGGCAAGTACTTATCCTTCAAAGTTAAATATGATCTACAAAATACAAAAACGAGCAATTCGCTTGATATTAAATGCAAATAAATACGCTAGTGCCAGACCACTACTAAGAGAAATTGGAGTGCCTAATGTCTATGAAATAAATATTCTTAATATAGTTATTTTCATGTTTAAGTTTAAAAATGGTATGCTACCAAGCATTTTCCAAACTTATTTTTTTTCTTTAAACCACAAATACGAAACTAAATACTCAACAAATAATTTTATTATACAAAAAACATTATCAAAACAAGCTGATTTTTCGATATCTTGCCGAGTGCCGCGGTTAAGGAACTTGCTTTTAACAAGTAATATAAAAACTTTAAATTCAACTCAACATTTTAAACGTGCAACAAAACAACACTTATTTGGTTTTGACACAAAGCAATTACTATCGTATTATTAAAAACTTTTGGTAATCTTAGTTATTTAATGTCTTATAAATTGGCTCAACATCACAATTATATTGTATGGTACTTAGAACATCTATGATATTATTTTATTTTAAAATAATAACGTAATTTGTAAATGCAATATTTATTATATCTTACGCAATTTGTAGATGGAATGTAATACAGATTTATTTGATTTGTATGTATATATGAAGGGACATATATTTGTGTGTACGTGTGCGTATGTGTGTGTGCGTGCGTGTATTATAAAAATAAAAGTAGAATAAAATATAGAAAAAAATAAAATAAAAAAAATAATAATAATGAGAAGAAATAATAAATTTTTTTTTTTTTTTCTCTTTCTGTAAATAGTAATTTGATTTTTAAGTTCTTTTTTTTCTTAAAATCAGTTCTTGCTTTAGTTTCTTTTTTCCTTTTTCATTTTTATCGGCTGAATTTTTTAGTTATATTAACGGGGCTGGATGATAAGATCATGTCTTCTGCCAGCTCCGGTCGAAACTTTAATGTTATAATTTTTATCTTGTAAAAAAACATTGTAAAAGATTATTCATTTAATGACGAAATAAATAAATCAAAAAAGATCATGCACAATATTGTATACTTAAAAGAGTGCTCAATAGATAAACTAAAGTTAAATAGTGTATATGTTACTGTCAGGGCCGTGCGGTGCTATGATACAAAAAGGCGGCCGCCTCAGGCGGCACCATTAAGGGGCGGCAAAGTAGCGAAATCAAAATGCAATTTCAGGGTTGCAATAATAATTAGGTACTAAATCATAAACTGGACTCATTTAAATTTTAATTACTACCAAACTCGTGAATGTTTTTATAACTTTAAAAGTTTTTTCATTGTCCACATTTTTCTATAAAAATAAAAAAAAAATTTCTCCCTCATTTAGCATTCGCTTTTGCTATTCCTTTCAATATGAATAAAAACGTTTTGAAACGCATATTAGCCTTGACTATTTTCTTATTATGTTTCAAAACACTGTTTTCAAACGTTTTTAAACGTTTGTGTTTGCCTGTCTTTGCAAGTTAAATTTTAACTTTGTAATGTCATCATGTTTTTAACTGTTAAAAACATGATGACATTACAAAGATTTTACAAAATTTTTACAAAAATTTATTACAGCAGTAATAAATTTTTCGTCAGCATGGAACAAAAAAGAAAAAAATTATCTGGAACTCGATACAAAAAGAAACGCTTAAAGAATGAGGAACAAGAAAGAAAGCTCAGCAATGTTATGAAGAAATTCTTAGTACAAAAGTGCGGTTTAGATGAACCTTCCACATCAGCAGCAACTGATTTGGCAAATAACAACACAGTGCCGCCCCAATCACTTCCAGAAGAAGTTGTTGAAGAGAGCCAAATACTAAAACCATGAGATCTTCATGAACAGCCGGGCAGCATATCCACGTCAACTGCGACTGCCTTGGATTTGGCAAATAAAAACACAGTGCCGCCCCAATCAATTCCAGAAAAAATTGTTGAAGAAATCCAAAAAATAACATCATCAGAAGTTCATCAAGAACCGGGCCGCATTAGCAGTGGTAGTCAGCAGGTATTAAAGGAAATTCCTTCAGATCCTGCATTATGGCTTACTTTCTGCATGTCATCTCAAACTCGTCAACTACTGGTTGAGAGGGGTCCCCATCAAATTGAAGAATTCGAGTTTCCTATTAATAAAGGAAAGCGTAGATTTTTGTCCTCGTATTATTCGAAAGTGTTGAGCAATGGTGAAGTCGTTGAGAGAAGTTGGCTTATTTACTCTATTGCAAGTGATGCTGTTTTTTGCTTTTGTTGTATATTATTTGATAATTCGTCTGATATTAGTGACTGGCCCAAAAAAGGCTATTCTGACTGGAAAAATCTTATAAGAGCCCTCACAATGCACGAAAAGTCTGTAAATCACAGAAATGCTTTTAGAGCATGGAAAGAATTGGACATTCGATTGAAGCAGAAAAAAACTATTGACGCTGAATATCAACGAATTACGGATATGGAACTTCAGCATTGGAGAGGAGTTATAAAAAGAATTATGTCAATAATTAAACTATTGGCCTCACAATGTTTAGCTTTTCGTGGATCAACTGAACATTTGTTTCAACCTAATAACGGGAACTTCCTAAAGTTGGTAGAATTACTTTCTGAGTTTGATCCAGTTATGGAAGAACATATCAGGAGAGTTCAACGAGAGTCTGATAAATGGTCAGTGACTTATCTAAGCAATAATATACAAGATGAATTGATAAATTTAATGGGAAATTCAATTTTAAGAAAAATTGTCGAAATAACAAAAATCGCTAAATATTTTTCTATAATCGCTGATTGTACCCCCGACGTCAGTCATTATGAACAGCTCTCCTTAACAATAAGAGTTGTTACTTTTAACTCCATTCAAAATAAATATGAAATTGCAGAATTCTTTATTGGTTTTTTTGAAGCTAGTGATTCAACCGGAGAAGGTTTGGCAAAACTTATTCTGACACATTTGGAAAAATTAGGTTTTGAGTTAAAGTGGTTTAGGGGACAAGGCTATGACAACGGAGCCAATATGAAAAGAGTAAGAAAGGGTGTTCAAAATAGAATACTTGAAAAATATCCAAGGGCTTTTTATGTGCCCTGCGCATGCCATTCTTTAAACCTTGTTGTGAATGATGCAGCGTCTTCTACTACAGAAACAACATTTTTTTTTTCTATTGTACAAGAACTTTACACTTTTTTTTCTGGTTCTACAAAGCGTTGGGAAGTGCTAAAAAAATATGTTTCTCAATTAACTCTGAAACCATTAAGTGCTACTAGGTAGGCAAGCAGAATAGATGCTTTAAAACCTTTACGATTTCAACTTTGCGAAATCTATGATGCATTGATTCTGATAATAGAAGACGTCAATAGAGATGCAGAAACTAAAGTTAAAGCGAGAGGGTTAGCAAAAAATATTAAAAATTACAAGTTTATATGTGGAGTAATTTTTTGGCATGATATTTTGTTTGAAATTAATTCAGTTTCGAAGCTTTTGCAATCTGTTACTATAAATATATCAGATTGTGTAAGGATGCTATCAGAAACCATAAAAAAAGTGAAAAGTTATAGACAATCTGGATATATTCAGATGAAAATTGCTGCAAAGGAGATAGCAGAGAATCTCGAATGCAGTACAGAATTTCCTGATGACACTGAAGTTAGACCCAGAAGGAAAAAGCGTCAATTTGACTATGAAAAAGCTGTCGATGAACCCTTAACAGAGGAGAAAAAATTTAAAATAAACTTTTTCAACTATATTCTGGACATTACCCTTAATTCTCTGAATGAACGATTCACGCTTCTGGAAACCCATAGCAAAAAATTTCAGTTCTTATATGACATTTTAAAACTCAAGGATATAGATGACAAAACGCTAGAAAATTATTGTTCCAGTCTTGAGTTTATACTTTCGGTTGAAAATGAAACAGATATAAATGCAAATGATCTTAGAGAAGAATTGCGTGATGTATCCAGAATGCTACCATATTTTACGAAACCTTGGGATGTTTTAAATTATTTATACCAAAATAGCTTAATTAGTTTGTATCCAAATACTGTTGTAGCTCTGAGAATTTTATTAACTCTCCCTGTATCTGTAGCTAGTGGGGAAAGAAGTTTCTCCAAATTAAAATTAATAAAAAACTACTTAAGAAGTTCAATAGGATAAACAAAACTTAAAAATCTGGCATTAATTTCTATTGAATCTGCAATGGCTAGCACTCTAGACTACACATCAGTAATTAACGAATTTGCTAAAGTTAAAGTTAGAAGAGTAAAGCTGTAATACTGTACATTGTTGTAGTTTATAGTTGAAATCATTATTTTGAAATTTCAAAATAAAAAGTAGAATTCGTACATTTTGTGCAGTTTTTTTTTTAAATCACAATCGAAGGTTATTTTAAAGAAAAACATTTAAGGGGCGGCATTTCGAAGATTTGCCTCATAATGAGAAAATCTACCGCACGGGCCTGGTTACTGTTACCCGCAGTACAAGGAATTAGCTAAATGCTAATGTTTATAATATAGTTTAATATTGCATCTCTGAGTTTCATGTGTTACCACAATCATCAGGCAGTTCGTAAATGTTTAATTTTGCTACGATTTGTTTAGTGGACGTTACGGTTTATATTTGTATACGGTTAATATTATGGATCGTTATGGGACGCAAATTGACTAGTAGTTAGTTTAATAATATTATTAGCCTAATATTATTAAATTAGCCTAGAGATGAATGGAGTGGAATAATATAGCTAGTTTTAGTTGTTATTTAATTTGTAGCAAGTATTTGCTTACTTTTGCATTTGCATTTAAAGTGTAGCAAGCATTGTAATTTTTTAACAAGAATTTATTTTCGTGGCGGCACTTTGGTATAATTTTGGTTATTTTATTTAGTATTTCCTCAGGTTTTGGATTCGATATAATAACAAATTGAGCCCAAAACACGCATAAACCTTTCAAAAAACCCAACAATAATCTTTAATACATCCACACATTTTCTAATCACCCACCATAAATTATCAAACACTTAATTCAATATCTAACAGGCTTTTACAAAATTTCTCCATCGAAGTTATATTTATTCAATCTAAAAACGAATATGAACAAGCACTAAACAATAGCGGATATAAAAACTACTCCTTTAAGTATTAGATCAAACAAATAACACCACAAAAAAATCGTAAACACATTATTATATAGTTCAACCCCTCATTTAATAAAAATGTCTCAACAAATGTTGCAAAAGTGTTCTTGTATTTACTTGAAAAAAACTTCCGTAAGACACACAAAGTTCACAAAATAAAAACAGAAACACTCTAAAGATAAGTTACAGTTGTACTGAAAATATAGAAAAAATTATAAAAACCACAACAACAAAAATTATCTTTCCAATAATTGAAAATAATGACCCAAAATGCAATTGTCGAAACAATGCAAAGTGCCCCTTAAATGGTAAGTGCAAATCCACAAATATTATTTATAAATGCATCATTGCAGTCAAAAACCAGCCCAACAAAGTTTTTACCAAAGGTGAGTGGAAAACCAGACATAACAGCCACAAATCATCATTCTGATGAATGATTTGTGATATTTGAATGTTTCTGATGAATGTTTCTGATGAATGTTTGAACGTTTGAATGTTTCTGATGAATGAATGTTTCTGATGAATGTTTGAATGTTTGAATGTTTCTGATGTTTGAATGTTTCTGATGAATGTTTCTGATGAATGTTTCTGATGAATGATTTGTGGCTGTTATGTCTGGTTTTCCACTCACCTTCGGTCAATCCAATAAAATTATTAAATATTAAATACAAAAAGTTAAGCAAACAGTAATAATATCATCGAATAGTTTCAACATTATAAGTGAAAACTCTGTTGACGAAATTTGAAATGTCATTTTATTAACTTGCTTAACAAATATTGTAAAATTAGCGATTTCTTCTTTTTTTTTTAGTTCGTCATTTGTCATTGTCATTTTTCAATTCATTTGAGCTGCACCTTTCCAACAGGGAGAACTGTGTGACAGATTTAGACCTTCAGAATATTTAGCATTAATTTTAAAGTCTTGATCTTACATTATACAAGAATATTTTGGAATGTAATCTAAATAGTTGTAATTTCTTTATCTGAAATATCGCCTCTGTAAGCATTAGAAATTATTTGAAAAAGTTATTAATGATTTTGGAGCTACAGATACTAATATTTTATTTTGTTGTGATGTTTACATTCACTTCATATTCGTTTTTGTAAGTCTAAAATTTCTGGTATTTTAATGAAAAACTCTGTTATATCTGAAATTTAGCGCAAGTCTGAATAATTTAATTTTTTAAATCTGTTTGGCATTGTCTGCCTTATAATATCTTTACTTAAAATAAAAACTATCTGCTTTAAAAGTGAGCTAGAAGCTTTCAGCTATTTAGAAATTATTGCACTGGCTAATCCTAAAGTTATATTTAACCTGTCAGGAAGATCATTTATCAGTATTCCAAGTCTAAGCAACATTAAAAATTCATCTTTGCTGCATAGCTTTAATTTTGTTCTAAATAGTTTAGGTTTTTTTTAATTTCAAAAGATTGATGTTTTTTTAACATCACTTTATCTTCTTTTGATTAATGGTGATACTGCAATATTTAACTCATGAAACACACTGACAGATGTAAGGCTAGTATAAAAGTTGCAAGATGTATCGTTTTTAAAATGTATTGGTTGTATACAAGTAAACTGCAGTAACACAATTTGTCTGGATTATGTTTATACACAAATTTGTCTGGTTTCATAGTAATAAATAATGTGGTTGAAGTTATTTTTTCACATAAATCTTTACTCTTTTTAGTTTCGTGCTTTTTTTTAAATTATCAGTTTTTTTTTAAATTCTTGATGCTCTATTATAAAACAACACTTAGCATTAAATTCAACATAAGCTGATTGATCATTGTTTGAAAAAGTTGTATTATTTACTTACAACTTAATATAAGTTTTTGAAGAATGTACCCTAGTTGAACAAAAAGTATCAATTTTTAAACAATAGAGATCTGTCAGGAAAATCGTGTGAACATATATTTTATGGTAAATAATTTACTATGATGCGATAATGTAGGAGTTAAAGAGTTAATTAGTTTTCTCCATTTTTATCTGAGCTGTGGTTGTTTTGTTTTTTTGTTATATATCTGTGTGTGTGTGTGTTGCTAATGGATAACATATGCTTACTCATATGGTTGTTAGCAGTTTCATAAGTTACAGCTTCGTTTAACATTTTGTCTTATGCATGAACCATCTTTTACATTCCTATATTGTACTCGTTATTTTTACAATCAATGACAGCGCCTGTTTTCGATCTCTTGAAACTTCTATATAGTATGGGATTAGTATTTACATATTTTTCCGTTATAACCCTCTATACCTTAAACCATTGAAATAATGTTTGTTTACGTTTTTACTTCCATTTCTGCGCACACATAATTTTTATATCGGAACTGATATGGTGTATTGAATTTTATATTATTTTTTTGAAATAATAAATTATATATTTTTACAGTATAACTTTTGTTTTTTAGTGGATTTTAAAAAAAATGTTTTACTAAAGAAGAAAAGATAAAAGATATTTACCTTTTAGGCAATATAAAAGGAGAAGAAAAGATAGCTTTGTTACATGCAGAACAAATAATATTAATAAATACAAAATTAATATCTTTAATGAAAGAAAAAATTTTTGGATAAAAAAATATGAAAATACAGTAAAAAAAAATTTTAATGTCTTATTTATATATAAACACTACATACTTTTAATTTTATTTACTTCATCTTATATACTTTATTTAATCTTGCATACTTTTTATACCAATAATTATTTTATTCAAATAACTATATTATTTTTACTTTTTTTTGTTGCTATTTAATAACAATTTATTTTTTTAGGCAATTTACAATGTATTCTCATCTTTACTTTAACATATTTATTCTCATTCTTTTGGCATTTGATAGATAAAGTTAATTCTTATTTATACTCTTGACAACGACCTTGTCTTAGTCTTCAAATGTGCTCTCCAGAATTTTCTTCAATGCTATCAAAAATATTTAACAAGTTCTTATTTGTGACTTGTATTATAACTTGATTACAAGTTGTACGAGTCTCCATTATATAGAATAATGGAGGCTCAGTATAAATATTTCTACCACTTTGGTACAAGTTGTACGAGTCTCCATTATATAGAATAATGGAGGCTCAGTATAAATATTTCTACCACTTTGGTACAAGTTGTACGAGTCTCCATTATATAGAATAATGCTCAGTATAAATATTTCTACCACTTTGGTACAAGTTGTACGAGTCTCCATTATATAGAATAATGCTCAGTATAAATATTTCTACCACTTTGGAACAAGTTGTACGAGTCTCCATTATATAAAATAATGCTCAGTATAAAGTTTTCTACCATTTTGGTACAAGTTGTACGAGTCTCCATTATATAGAATAATGCTCAGTAAAAATATTTCTACCATTTTGTGGATCAAAAAAGTATGGAGTGTACCTTGCGTCACGTGACTCAAGAAATGTCACCATTATGAGAGGATAAAAATATAAACTAAGCTGATATAATCAAAAATTTATTATGAGGACTTTTTAATAAACTTTTAGGATAATGTTTTATTGCACATAAAAATTTATAAAATATTAAATATAATATATGATAGGTGTTTTAAATTATATATAATTTATAACACCTTTTATATATTATAATTATAAAAAACTAACTAAAAAAAATTAAAACAACCAGAAAACTAAATTTTTTTAACTTCCTGAAATTGTAAAATATGACAAACTTATATAATGTTTGTTTAAATGTAAAATATCCATAAAGGTAAATGTTTTTTTTTTGTCCCAAAACCATACCTTAAACAATTTTTAATTTTAAAATGTATATTGGTGCATCTTTCAATTATATCGCCATCTTTCGAACTGATGTGACAGTACAAATTTGATCCCGAAATGATAAAACATTACTTTCAATTTTTCAGGTTCACTAGTTTCAACAGAATTTTTTAAAATCCTTTGAAATGTTAGAATTTCTTATCAAAAAATTCTATAAATTAAAAATATCTTTACTGTCCATACAAAAAAATTGAAGCAATAATATTCAGTAACAAGAAATTGTGTTTTTACTTGGTAA